CCCCTTCCCCCCTTCTGTTTTACATGTAGTTTAGACTAATGAGTTTTTGACTTATTTGCCCCTAGATACAGCGACGAGTCTTTGATGGACAAAACAGTTGTATGCTGCGGTGTAATTCATGTTAGGCCTACAGTATAAATAACGAAATTTTCAATTTTCGGTTAATTGTGTGTCTCTTACGTTCATATTGTTAATGCTGATAATATCTAAATATTTTGAGATTGAAGTACCTCGGATTCATAATAGACGCCAAAAATCTACAAAAAGACAATAAAAACGAAAACATATTAAACTGCACTATGAATGTTATGGTAAAAATAAAGTGATAACTAAGGTTGGCGAAAGAAAATTACAAAAACAATGAGAATAGTTAAAGTTCGATTGCAGATTTAGTACGTTGATGTGTTGTTATCCTTGCAGGTAACAGATATGACACCAAAGTTCTTGGGTGCAGAAAGTGGACTCTGTTCCAAGCAGCCAGATGTGGAGACATTCGACTATTAGAGAATTGTATTGAAGACAAAATTGATTTTGGCTCCAAGAGCACAGATGGACGAACCGTACTGCATATAGCTGTTGCTAATATGCAATACAAATTCGTGCAGTATCTTTTAGATGTATATCGTTTGCTTCAGAAGGCTGGTTTTTATACCGGAATAACAACTAACGACGGAAAAACTTTCCTTGATTTTGCAAGAGAGAAACATCACACTCACTACTTGGACCTCATCGGTATGACGCAATATATTGAGGTTAAACGTAAGCATGTTACATTAAGAATTATTTCCACACTACAGACAGAACACCGCTAAATTTTAAATTAAGAATTTAGTAAACTTCATCGACATAGTTAGATCGGTTAATAATGTACCCATTTCACTCATTATTTAAACAATTACTCCTCTTATCTTCTATGTTGTTTTTAAATAAGGAGTCCTAACCCGACTAATTGAGTGTTTGACTTTTTCCCCCTAGAAACACCGACGAGTCCTGGATGGACAAGACAGTTGTATGGTGCAGTGTAATTAATGTTAGGCCTGCAGTATAAATAACGAAATTTTAAATTTTCAGTTAACTGTGTTTCCCTTACGTTCATATTGTTAGTGCTAATAATATCTAATTATTTTGAGATTGAACTACCTCGGATTTATAATAGACGTCAAAAATCTACAAAAAGACAATAACAACGAAAAAATATTAAAGTTGATAAAACTTCACTTTGAATATTACGGTTAAAAAAGTGATAACTAAGGTTTGCCAAAGAAAATTACAAAAAACAATGAGAATAGTTAAAGTTCGGTTACAGATTTAGTACGTTGATGTGTTGTTATTCTTGCAGGTAACAGATATGACACCAAAGTTCGTGGGTGCAGTAAGTGGACTCTGATCCAAGCAGCCAAATGTGGAGACATTCGACTATTAGAGAATGGTATTGAAGACAAAATTAATGTTGGCTCGAAGTGCACAGATGAAATAACTGTACTGCATATAGCTGTTGCTAATATGCAATACGAATTCGTGCTGTACCTTTCAGAGGTAAATCGTTTGCTTCAGAAGGCTGGTTTTTATACCGGAATTACAACTAACGATAGAAAAACTTTCCTTGATTTAGCAAAAGAGAAACATCACAATCAACACTTGGACCTCATCGGTATGACGCAAAATATTGAGGTTAAAGGTAAGATTGTTACATTAAGAATTATTTTCACACTACTTCAGACAGAACACTGGACGTTTCCATTGTAGTGTAGGTATGATGTAGTATATCATAAGATCATCATGGATATAACTGTAGGACGCGATGGCTAGGTATTATCGTTGATCGGAGAGCTCACTCTATCCAAAATTGACAGACGGACAGACGGACGGACCATTCTGGATATAACTGTAGGACAAGATGGCTTGAATATTATCATTGACCAGATAGCTTACTCTAGCCACAATCGACAGACGGACGGACCCTACTGGATATAACTGTATTACAAGATGGCTGGGGTATTACCAATGACCGGAGAGCTCACAATACCCACAATAGATGGACGGACGGACGGGCAGGCCATTCTGGATATAACTATAGAACGAGATGGCTAGGGTATTATCATTGACCGGAGAGCTCACTCTAGCCACAATAAACAAACGGACGGACGAGCGGACGGACTATTCGTTGGAAGGAATATAAAGTGATCGGAGGAGCTCGATAACATTTAAGAGTCAGAAAACTATTATTGCTTTTTCTGTAATTTTTATTATTATTCATAAAAGTTTTATTTTCAGAAATCATTTATCAAACCTTTAAGCATATCCCCAAACAATGCTTTCAGTGAATAGGTTTCCGGAGTGGCACAAGAATCCTTGAACAAATTACTGACAATTATTAACTTGTTTACCATGAATATATGAAGTGTCAAATTAGCTGATTTTATATTCAGAGCATGCCTCTCTTACGATGTAAAAATGAGACAGAAATAATTGCAAAGAACTGCTTCATCAATTTTAACATGTTTCGTTACTATAATCATCGGATGCTACCCAACACAATGTTCATACAAATCATATTAAGTACTGCTACAATAAATTGAATTTTGCAGGTATTTTCTTTGCTGATTCCTGTAGAATGGGAAACGAAATCTACAAAGTTTCACACAATTTTTCTTCACACAATTTCTCTACAGATTAACACATCATTAAAGATGATCTGCTGTAAAATCAATGGAAAGAACAAAAAAGCGATATGTGTTTAAAACTAAAGTTTTCTGATTTTATACAATACTGGACTTTTGTTGTCATAAAAAAATAAAATGATGAAGTAAAGTGATTTCAAACTTATCAGCTCAATTATTAACTTAAAAACATGTTGGGTTTTATGTACCGTGGTATCTTTCTAAAGTTTAGATCAATTTGGTTTTCCTGCAGTGGACCCTAGCATAACCGGCGAGATCTATAAGGACGAAACAGCTGTATAGTGTAGTGTACTTCAGTTTTTGGCATAATGTATATATCACCAAATGTTAAACGTACAATGACTCTGTCTTACATTCACCTTTAAATAACTTGCTAATAACTTATTTTATCTTTAGGCATCCATTGGTCGACCTGGACTAAACTACATCATTGTGCAGTCAGTGGATCGGAAGCGGAATGCTCAAGGCTGATTGAAGATTTTCCTAAAGACGTCAATGTTGAAGTTGACACCGATATCCATCCTTACACCAACCTTCAGCTGCCCAAATATGGAAAGATGACACCGTTAGAATTGGCAATGCACAGCGAAAACATACCCGTTCTAAATATATTAGCAAAATATTCGTCTTTCAGGACTATCGACAAATGTTTGGCTGGTGTTCGAACTATTTCAACAAAGACTATTCTCGTCAGAGGAATTCTGACCCAGCTTCTAGAGAAACACGAAGATGTTCAGTATGGCAAACTGATTGCAACTGGTGAAAATGTCATAGTTATTTATACCACCGATCAACTCGACGATGCATGTTCGAAAATAGCTGGAATACAAACGATATACAAAAACGCTAACGGGTTTGACCAGGACAATGAAAGAGCCATCGACTTTGAATTAGATATGGAAGTGCCCGGTCTGTCGAAAGAAGAAAACGAACGTATGAAAGATGTTGTTGATGCGAACAGTGACACTCTTTGGAGAAATCACGAAAACCTCAACGGAATTCGTATATCGGCCGTTCGTACTACGGGTGGAAAAGCGTTCCGAGATAACTGTATTGTTCTGTGTTGCAAGTTCAAAGGATTTCTAACGGAGAAGGAAGAAGAATTCCCTCGTGTTTTGCGTTGTAAGGATATCTGCTTTCCGGTTGACGTTCGAGAGGAATATATTGTCTTGACCAGTCAACCGTCAGACAAACTTAAGCCTTTGGCATGTGGAGGTATCATCACCGGAAGTTGTGTAGACAACAAAGTCTGCGGGACAATTGGACCTTTCGTTGAATTGCCAAATCAGAAAACAGGATTTATCACTTGTGCGCATGTTCTTGATAACAATCCTGCTTTTGGTGTTCAGTCCGGACGCAATCATATCGTCTATCAACCACAGAAAGACTCTAATGCAGATTCTCTTTGTGGTGAAGTAGTGAAAATGACCTTCAAACCAAGTGCCGATCCGTCTATTGATGCTGCTGTCGTGAAAATTACGTCTGCGTTGCGGATTCCAAGATCAATCAACTTCGTTTCTGTTCAACAAGGTGCATTCCTTGATGCAGGTTTGCATTGTGATTTTGTCTATCATTTATACAATAGATAAACAGACTAATTTTTAATTGTTACAGTTAAGATTACAATGAAATCTGACAAAATAAAAAATAAAAATAAAAAAGATAAATATCCTTAAAGATACGTAGAAGAAATCGCAGATTTGATTGCCCTCCTTTACTTTCAATATCATAATGACTATCGTAATGATAATTTTTTCAACAAAATACGTTCAAAACTTTAAACTTTATGTATGATACGATTACAAAAACGTTCTGTGAACCTTGGTTTGATAGGCTTTCATCGCTTCCACAAAATCGACCCTTGAAAAAGATGAAAACTATAACTTATCGATTTCTCAAAAACCGCGTTTATTGAAAAAATCATTCGACTTTCCTTCATTTACGTTTTCATCAATATTTCTAGATTATTGATGATCAGAAAATGCTACAATTGACCTTCTAATAAGAACATAATATCAAAATGTAGAATGTTACAGTCTGAAATATGTTTTTATCACAGCGTCAATTTCAGGGCAAAATCAGTTTAAAAAATCATTAACACAGTGTCTGAAATCATCTGCAACAAAATGAATAATGAATAACAAAATATTTTGGCAAATATAGTGAAGATATTTTTGTTTTATAGGTATTGCAGAAGGATTGACTTTCAACACAGGAACCATTGGAGATTACCTGCCGGACAGTCCCGTTTTGAAATTCGGCGCTTTTACTTCAGAATTGAACTGTGTCTGTTCAGCGATAGGACACGAAGAAAAGATTGTTTATCCTCAGGGTAAAGTTCTTATGAGGGGATTAACAAGAATACTGTGTCGTGTCATTCATCAGCAAGGTGACTCTGGAGGGGGAGTGTTTGTGAAAAATGCCGAAGACAAACTCGAGTGTGTTGGGCTGTTCTTTGCTGCAAAAGGTCGAGAGGGATATTTTATTCCCATCAAAGATGTTTTGACGCAATGTGGGGGTTACAAACTAAAAGCATATCCTTAAACTATCTTGAAATAGCACTGCTTTGACAAAAGCGATAATCGTTGTATATAGTTCCTCCTTAATCGTTCTGCAAGTTTTGGAAGATAAGAACGATTTCGGAAAATAGTTTCATGGAAGTAGCGTGATTGGCGTCAAATGTTTTATATATATATTGCTGTTGTCATTATTCTTTGAAAATAATACCTGACATTATTTTTTAATTTAATTGCGTGTAAAAAGTTGTTAGTTGTATTATCAAATTAATGGTGTTAACGAAAATTAAGATAATCCGATATTTATTCTTCACAAGAATGAATCTCAGAAGGTATTCATCTCAACAATAGTCCGTTATTGATTTTAATTCCAACAGGTAAGGGCATACATATATAAATAGTTCTATTACAGATCAGAGGTAATTGTATTAAAATAAATCACCATAATATGAATACCGTTGATTACAAGACTAAAGTCAAATATTGTTCTATTAGGGGGGCTATTTAGTCAAGCAGCATCAGTAACGAAAGTCTACGTAGTTGATAATGACTTGACCTGAAACCAACCAGTGCGGTCAGTTTTATCTTTAAAGCCGGTGATTAAAATAACTACGACCTAAATAGCGCAATATCCGGGCCCTTCAGCAAGAAGTGAACATAGTGGGATATTTATAGGTAAAACATTAAACTAAATTACTCGTTTATAACGATAATTGAGATGTTGTTTGGATGATGCTATTGATTCAGAAGAAATGTCAGCACTTGTATTCGAATGAAGTTAGGTCAACAAAGCGAGAACTTACCTTCTCACCACTGGACAGGAACGCCAAGAAAACGTTGTCTCTTGTTTCTCGACATGTATTGTTCATAAGGAGTATCAAACTATATTTTCATGAAGAATATTGAAACTAGGTTTTCAAAAATAACTTACCTCACTAAATTGTCCCTGTTCAACTGCCGACAAAGCACTAGAAAACTCCACTACAGTCCTTAATATACAGAGTTACCTACCCTTACCACACTGTGATGTAACTAGCGCAACAGAAAGACAATGAAGTGATCAGGGAGCCAAGGTTCAAATCCTTTTCCAGATTTCGTTATATTTTTTCATTAAATTCACTGTAGATTCTTTATTTCATCACTTTCATGTTTTCATAAAAATTCGCAAGTTATGGATTTGTTTTTACAAAGTTATAGTGATGACATGAACAATAATGCCAATGTGTTATTATAGTTTAAGCATTGGTACGGCAGATTGATTGATTAATTGATGTTACACTATATGTATAAGATAAGTTAAACCTCATTCATTATCTGAATAATTTCAATAAGATTAAAGTAAAAAAATCAGATATTTACATCTTTTTTTCATATCTCACAATCAGTTCCTTATACCTTTTTCTTCTTCGAAAATTTATCCGAAATATACAATTGCATTTGCCGAATAACTTTGATTAAAGAAAGAAACACTTCTGAAAGAGGCAACCGGGATGATAATGTACCATGATTGATGAAGCCTTTCAACATCACTGTGTGCAAACTAACACATAGAATAACATTATTTTTTTTTTTTTTTTCGATAAGAGCGGTTATTGCACTAGCCTAAGGATGAGATGACCTTCAAATTATCAAGATCTTAATCGCACAAGTGAGCAAATTGAGCACTGCCCAAAAATTGTCAATGTGTAAGGTCGTAAGAGTTGCTTCCCTTATGTCAATAAACAACGAACAGGCGTATATGTTAGCTAGATAGGGCGCTATATCAAATGCTGTATATTATTATCATTTATATTTTACATAGTGTAACATCTCTATATCGACCACATGCTGATCCTAACGTATGTATTGCATTACAACCCTCTACTACAGTGTAACCTCTCTATAACGACATCCTTACTGTTTGAGGTTATATCAGAACCCTTTGATATGATGTAAACTGTCTGAACCGACCGCCTACCAGATCCTGACATTACTATTACATGAGAACCATTTAGTATAGTGTAACTTCTCTATACCAACCCTTTACTGATCCTAACATTGTTATTATAATTCCAACCATTTACTATCTTGCAACCTCTCTACACCGACCACTTTACTGTTGATAAGGCCATATTCATGCTAAGTGTGAGTTATAGTAAGGACAATATATTGTCTATAGTCTTTATTTCAATCGTTTTTATCGAAAATCCTGCGTTGCTCCTACATATATAAAACATATTAAGATATACGTACTAGAGCAATGGTTATGGACTCGCTTGATATTGCATTGTTGATAGGAGATTTCTTTAATGCTTAAGTTTTCAAAATCTGTGGGGAATCCTTTGTACCAACCAGACAGGAAACATGTTTAAAATCGACTTCTTACCCTTAATTGGGCCTGTTTTTGAGACGAAAGGGGAAGAGGAGGGTGGATGGGATTAAGGAGGGTTATGTCGATTAGTTTAAGCACCTTCGACCTCCACTTAAATCAAGTTAAAACAATTTTAAACTATTTGATGGTGATGAGGATTAATTAAGCAACTGTGACAAACAATTGACTAACTTTTAACATGTGACGTAATCAGTTTGTATATAAACTATAGTTAGAAACCATAATATTCCATTTGATCTGGTCAACGGCTATCGACCAAATACAGATAAACTACAAATACAAATAATATTTATATAATTTCAAGTACTTATATATCCAGATGGCCATTTCTATAGAATCATTCAAAATAATCACTTGCACTGTCAGCTTTATATCATTATCTATATCACTGTACTTACAATGAATCGATGGCAAATATTATTGTTGATGATAATCAGATAATTAATTCGCAACATTTATGTCCATCCTGTTTAACTATGTATTGATACTGCTTGTAGGTACATGTATTATCTGGCCGTAATTGTTTATGATTTTTATTGTCGTTGGGTAATGCTTTTAATTCCAAATCGATATAATTAACACACGCGTCATTTCATCGGCAAATATTATTGTTGATGATTATCAGATAATTAATTCGCAACACTTATGCACATCCTGTTAACCTATATATTGATGCTGTTTGTAGGTACATGTATTCTCTACCCTTTATTGTTTATGATTGCCATTGTCGTTGGGTAATGTTTTTAATTCCATATCGATCTAATTAGCACACACATGTCATTTCATTTGTTATGATTTTATACATTTCGTTGTTTTTATTCTATTATGTTTTGTGAGATCGAAATTTACAAAGAGACACGTAACGTAGTCCATTTCATTAAATAAAGATATGAATAGAAAATCTAAAAATATATAAAGAAAGGGTTATATTAATTTAATAACATTCCATTCTACCTGTTTCAGTAATGCAGTTCCATCCTCACATGACCCTATACAGCCAAAAATTTCTTTAATATCTACTGCTGTAGTATTTTTATGATCTACAACTTCATCAAAATGTCTTTACGCACTACTGTCATCAAGTGATATCAAGACACCGGCTATAGTGTCCAAGTCGTTATCAGCGTCAATATCAGAAGAATTATGCAACCTTTTCCTCTCGTTTTAATTCTTTCAATATTATTTAAAATGTATTTAACATTGCTTATTTATGTATGTATTTATGTGTCTAACCTTGAAACTAAGACATTGAATATAAGTTCAGATGAACCAGGGCACTTCCGTCGACCAGGTAGCTCAATTGATTATAGTGACTGTATAACGATCTGAAGTCAAGGTTTCGAATCTCGCTGATTCTTATTTCCAATCAAAGCACTGTTGATGATTATTGTTCGGTGTATTTCATATCTATTTTTTTCATAAAAGTCCCGCTTGGTATTGGTTTCTTTCAGCAATTATCTATCAAAGCTGTAGTCATGTGACAGAATCGGTCTCCAATACATAGCTACTGTTTTGCAATAGTACAGGTATCCTCATAGACAGATTAACACTTAGCCGTTGGAAAAATGTGTATGTGAGGATTGTTCAACGGGAGGTAACTCGTATACGTAATTTCAGCATTACGCAGTTTAATGTTACTTGACTTACTGTTAAAGCTCAAAAAACAGTTATTATAGATGTCATACACAGGCTACAGATGATAATGGGTTTTGATGTATACTGACAGATGCACCTAGAATTTGATCTCGTTAATACAACATTTAGATGAGTGTACTACAGGGATGTTACATATTACCAGACGTCACATTAACTAATAATAATCTATTGTAGTCTCCCATGGTTGGGTTAATGACGGAGAAAAAAAATATCAATCATCCTCTATACCCGATATACAACAAATCAGGTCTTGAATTTGCGTCCGCAACAATCAATGACAAAAGCTGAAAATGATGATCTACGTATATTTATTTACAAAATGGCATTTTACAAGTCTTTGTATTTGGAATGTATCAAAATGATTTGCAGTCGGTCGATAGGGGTGTGATTGTTTTATCCGTACGGATGCATCAGCTTAATCAATTAATTGCCATGCCGTCATTTTGAATAGCTCTGACGCTGCACCTTCTGTATTATACGTTTATTAAGGAAACCTTTTACATCAATAAAACTAGCATTACAACCAATTCTACTGATCCACCGTTATACCAACGAACCCGTGTTACAGTGAATCTATGTTTCAGTCATTTTCTGTGATCTGATGATATTTATCTATTTATTATATTTATCATAATTTCCCTAAAATTCAGCTAATTGAGCAAAGTGTTTATAAAAAAGAACCCAAATCTCGATAGGTAAGAATATGATAAAGAAAATTGTAGTAAACCCGACGTCCATATTCACTAGTATTTCACACATGTGTGTTCCGCAAGGTTTAACAACATTTACAGTCAATGGTCACATTGTCAGTCAATGGTCACATTGTCAGTCAATGGTCACATTGTCAGTCAACGGTCACATTGTCAGTCAACGGTCAGTCAACGGTCACATTGTCAGTCAACGGTCACATTGTCAGTCAATGGTCACTGGTCACATTGTCAGTCAATGGTCACATTGTCAGTCAATGGTCACATTGTCAGTCAACGGTCACATTGTCACACAATTCACTTGATAGTGAGAGCCAGCAGATTCCCGCACACTGTCCTTTGTTTGTAAACTTTGACAAAGTAGCATATAGCATGTTTATATCATTCTATACCACGTGTTTTGGAAAGTCGGCAAAATTGATGACGTGACACAATATCCAAATTCTTCTTCGTTTCTTCTCTCTGTGTCTCTTTACAAAGTGAAATGAGTATTACGTGTAGTGGTTTGATTTCTAAAAAGCATTTAACTTGTTTCCAATACGATTGTTCTTTTGTTGCTTATAATGGATTCTCCATTCCCTCCTGTATAGGGATTCCTTTAAAACACTCCTTAAACATTTCGGGATTATTTTTAAACAGTTGCCACCACTGGACTTTTGACAATGCCCCAGGGCGGAGATCGTCGACTTCTCCCCGGAGTCGTGCGATGATAAACCGCCCGTATTCACGTGGGGCATCACGGATGTTACCCACGATGTTGGCATCTGTGCAACAAACAACAACAATCATAAGTATGTCATATGAACAGACAACAGCAATTATAGGAGTGTTATATCAACAGTAATTAATAGTCGATAAATACATAAAAGTCAGTTGTTGTAATTATATGTTGAAGTTTTCAATGCATATCTGGTTAGCGTACACTTTAAAATAATTATCTATTACAATAATTGGTCAATCTGTATCCCTGAAGACACATTATCGGCTTGATATCACTGTATTCATGGTACGGGTGGTAATTCGTTATATCCGCTATATAAAATTGCTAAAGTTGTATGTCTCATTTTGGTAAGAGTGACATATATGACTGAACGTGATTTTGTTGCGCTGGTTGTGCAAGTTCTTGATGGCAAAAAGGCACAACGACTTGTGCCCGTTAACGTACGTGCAATTGTGACACATGCTGGGTTGGAGAGAGGCAATAAGTGACTTCCAGGAGTTTCCATAAGTTATATTTAGATCGACATAAATACAACCATTGCCTGCTCATATTGCCATGATTAATCAACATATTAATTGAACATGTTCATACTGATTTGCCAGTACATCATTCTCAATCTGCTTTCAAGAAGGCCAAAGGCACGCTACTAGATTTCATGTGTCATTGATTGGTGTGCTACTTGAAAGCCCCGTCTGTTGTTTCTACTACTATATTGTGACAATCATATATATAAGGTTGACGTCATTCTCGAGCTAACATTCCTGCTGGCTGAAGTTTATGTATATATATATTGGTGAAGGCCAAGTGTAGACGAGGTTATCCTACGTTCCTGTTGCCTAGTAAGTTTGTCTATGTATAGATAAACCTTACCTGTCACACCTTTACAACAAGCGAGAATGGGGTTGTTCGCTCAAGAATGACGGTAACTATATATTGAAAAAATGAATGAGAAAAACTTTGACTGATAGAAATGTTGGAAACGTATCAATCATTCTAACGGTACCAACATCTTTTGTTTATCAACTAGAAACATTGTTTTTTGATACGAGGATAGAGTGGCCTTTTTCGGACAGACCAACTTCCTAAGTCAAACATTGTAGTCATACGAAAACCTCTACTAAAATAAAAGTGTCTTTACCGACCACCAAACTGATCAGAACATTGTCATACTCTCACAATAATTACTATAGGTAAACCTCTCTATAATGACCATCTTACTAGTTCTAACATTATGATTACATCACACTATTAATTATATTGAAACCTCTCTATACCGATCACTACTTATCCGAACATTGCCACTATATGACAAACATTTACAAAAGTGTAACATTGCTATACCAACCTTTATTGATTATAACTTAAGAATTATATGACAACATGTATTACAGTGTAAACTCTCTATATTGATCACCTCCTTATCCGCACATTGCGTTTATAACAACCACTTAGTGAAGTGTAACATTTCTATACCGACAGACTTAGTGATTTTAACATTAGGGTTACATAGCAACCAGTTATTAAAGTGAAACCTCTATATATCCATTATCTGTTTATCTGAACATGGTCATTATATGACATCCACTGAATATAGTGTAACCTTTCTATTTTGACTGCCCATCAGGGATATATGACAACACTATATTAAGTGTAACTTCTATATATCGACCATCTACGTGTCATTATATGCCAACAATTAACTATAGTGTGACCTTTCTTTGATGACCGCATAGCGTATTAAAATTTTGATTATATGACAACCGTATATTAAAGTGTAATATCTCTATACCGACAACCTTACTGATCCTAACATGTTGTTTTTTTATTCTTTCGAACATTGTTATTTACATCTCTTTACTTGTTCAATAACGGATCAACCTATGGATCTAGCTATGGTGATTACCTCACTACCATTCATTATATCATATTCGTTTCAAATAAAAAGTACAATCCTCGAAAAACGTCCAGTTATTAAAAATGATATTAAATAGTTTCATAAATATGTTTTATGTTCCAGTACTAGACTTTCATGTCCTCCAACATTTTTCTACTGTTCATATCAGCTATAACACGTTTTACTCTTTGTAATTACATTACCATACCTATATTCACAGTTAAAAAATATATCACTGACCAGTTCAGTCAGGTCCTGGACATTGTCTATGATTTATATGCCTAAGGTAGTAATCCATAAACCAGCCTATTGATTCTGTATGTAACTAAATAATACCGTTAGACTGATGTTACATTCACGAAAGATTAGATGTACTTAACATTGTGATCGTGTTTACTATTTGATATAGTGTGACATATCTGTACCGATTACCAAGTGATCATAATATAGGGATTATATGACAATCCTCTACTACAGTGTAACCTTTCTATTATGACAACCTTGCTTACTGATTCTAGCATTGTCATTATATGACAATCCTCTATTACAGTGTAATCTCTCAATAATGGCAACCTTGCTTACTGATCCTAGCATTGTCATTATATGACAATCCTCTTCTACAGTGTAACCTTTCTATTATGACAACCTTGCTTACTGATTCTAGCATTGTCATTATATGACAATCCTCTATTACAGTGTAATCTCTCAATAACGGCAACCTTGCTTACTGATTCTAGTAGTGTCATTATATTACAATCCTCTACTACAGTGTAACCTCTCTATAACGACAATATTGCTTACTAATTCTAGCATTGTCATTATATGACAATCCTCTATTACAGTGTAATCTCTCAATAACGGCAACCTTGCTTACTGATCATAGCTTTGTCATTATATAACAATCCTCTACTACAGTGTAACCTTTCTATAACGACAACATTACTGATCCTAGCATTGTCATTATATGACAATCCTCTATAACAGTGTAACCTCTCGATAACGACAACCTTGTTTACTAATCTTATCATTGTCATTATATGACAATTATCTACTACTGTGTAACCTCTCTATAACGACAACCTTACTGATCCTAGCATTGTCATTATATGACAATCCTCTACTACAGTGTAACCTCTCTATAATGGCAACCTTGCTTACTGATCCTAGCATTGCCATTATATGACAATCCTCCTCTACAGTGCAACCTCTCTATTATGACAACCTTGCTTACTGATTCTAGCATTGTCATTATATGACAATCCTCTATTACAGTGTAACCTCTGTATTACGACAACCTTGCTATTCCTAGCATTGTCATTATATGACAATCCTCTACTACAGTGTAACCTCTCTATAACGTCAACCTTGCTTACTGATCATAGCTTTGTCATTATATAACAATCCTCTACTACAGTGTAACCTCTCTATAACGACAACTTTGCTTACTGATTCTAGAATAGTCATAATATGGCAATCCTCTACTACAGTGTAACCTCTGTATAACGACAACCGTATTGATTCTAGCATTGTCATTATATTACAATCCTCTACTACAGTGTAACCTCTGTATAACGACAACCTTATACAATGGGTGGGGGGCATGAGTTTGTGAATAATCTGTACCAGCATAAGATCATTGAGTTAGACATTGCTCTAGTTAAGAAAACATAACATCCACAAATGATCTGATCACAGGCTAACGACCAAGTACAGATCCACTTTAAATACAAAACTGATTTATATTGCTGAAATATATTTAATACTTACATATCCCGATGGCCATTTCATAAGAATCTTCAAAAACAATCACGTAAATGTAGAGCAGCTTTATAGACGATATGCTTACATCGAAAATGAGCAGATCTGCGGTTAAAGGGAGATAATGCCTCCAAAATATTTTGAAAAGATAAGAGTTACCTCTTTCATAAAAAAAGCGATTTAAGTCTTGTAAATTAGCTTAATGTTGGTAGATATAAAAATATCCTAAATTTAAATGTTTCTGAATATGCATTTTATATTTTATAATGTAGTTTGATAGGTAAATGTGATAGTTTTATGAAAATTACGTTTAAATAAAGCATACTATCTAGCAAAACTTATCATTTACTACTATTCCTATCCGGAACACAGTTTGCTGCAGTCCAACTTTCAGTGTTATGAACACGCCCACAAAGTATATGTTACCCCACAAGGTCCGCATACCTCCACACACTTTTTTGACGTAGTGGATTAAATGAAAAGTTTTCTATCTAATAGTTTTTCCACTGAGTCATATCTTTGTGTACCATACAAATGTGTACCGTGGTACAAAAAGATATGAAAATTCATATCTTTTTGTCAGGCTCTTGTCAGCCATCGTAAATTTAACTCTACGACATTTAATATATAATACATGATTCGACCTTGAGCTTGAGAGCCATTGTCTGCTGACACTTTGGGGAAAAGACCATTAGTTACCTTTTTTCCTGATGAAGCTTTAGCATGTTGGCGTTCATCCAG